CCGACATCTATTCAATAAACCAAGTATGTAGGGGGCATTCTATATCCCTGTACGCTACACCAACATAGTTTTAAATTCCACCTGATCTATGATCAAATTTTAAACAAAATCAATTAAAACAACAATAAAAAAAAACCCTCAAGACGCAAGCCTTGGGCCAGTCAAACACCTTATCACAGTTGCCTGGCTTGGAACACTACAAGGCGCAAACCTTAGGCCTGGACGGGACTTGCGCTTAGGCGCGCCTTATCGAAGTCACCTGGCCTGGAACATTACAAGACGCAAACCTTGAACCTGGATGGGACTTGGGCCTAGGCGTCTAGGCGCGCCTTTAGTAACACTGATCTAGTCACTTTCTTAAATACATTTTTACCCAACTCCTTATTTTTCTCCAATCCATTTACGTAATTTTAATTTATTTTTTTATTACGTTATCCAATCATCAATTTTTTAAGAGTTGTTAAGAATATAACGGTGTAAAGTGATCGTTTAAAAAACAATATAACTGTTTAATAAGATCAATAAAAAAAAGTATGATCATCATTACAAAGTACAGTTGCTAAAGAGGTGGCTGTTTCAAAATAAAAAAATTTATGTAATTTAAATTTTTTTCAAAACTAATTTAGTATCAAATTATATTTTGAGATTGTATTTTAATGACTGTTATATTAAGGTAAGGTGTTTAAATTTTTAAGTTTAATTAGTTTAATCTTAATTTCAAGAATTAAAATATGTAACATAATGCACCCCAACACCTTACGAAAGATAATGTTGTTCAAAATAATAGCTAAACCAAGAAAACAAAAACAAAGTGATCGCCCAAATCAATTTGAGAAATCTGTAGTATGGGTGTACATTTACTTTCACAAGCTCAAAGACTGTATCTAGCATCAAATTAAATAACTCCATCCAATCTTTGCTAATATAAAATTCATCCATATATGAATGCCATTGCACAAACTAGCCAAATTTGGTCAAATCAAAGATAAACCATCCTTACTTGGCAGTTCTTTACAAGATAATAGATGAAATTCATTATCCTACCTCAACACCTTCTTGCTCCTTCTAGCAGTGGCTTACAGCAGCAGCTTGAACCTCTTTTGACAGGAAATCATAACTAAGAGAAACAAAATCCAACATACAAAAGATTAAGTGACACGAAGCCATATAAGAAGAGCATTAGTAAAATTCTCACGTTTTACTAGAGGCAATAACTCTTTAAATAGTTTGTGTTAGTTGTCGTGATATTTGTTGTGTTAAATTTGTGTTCTTCATTATGAAATTAGTTTATAATATTTTTGTGATACACATTAAAGTTATGATTACCAGCCTTTCTATCTTGACACTTTTAGCATTCTTTAGATTTCAGATTGGAAACGATGTCTTTCTACTTCTGTTATTTCTTTTACCATTCAAGGTGAATCACAATCCTTCATTTCCATCCATGCATATGTGTTCTCTGTTTCTTCTCTTCATTCCATTTTGTACGAGAATTTCAAGAAGGTTTTACAACCTGAAACAAAAAACCTAACCCATCTTAAAAATTAAAAAACAAAACAAAACAAAACAAAAATTCAAACTCATCTCTTGATCTAAAAGTCATATAATATGATCTTCTCAGTATTCTAATATGTTGCTTGCTGAGATGTTGCCGATCTGGATAAACCCAACATATACAGCCATCATCATCATCATCTTCAATTCCAGGAATAAGGAAGACTAGAAGAGGAATTTGAGAGAGATCAAAGAGGGGGAGGGGATGAGGGAGATCGGGAAGGAATAGGGTTCAATTGGTTGATCAAACGGAGGGGAGTCACTGGTTGCAATGTTGCAGATTGTAGATGAGAGAGAGAGAGAGAGAGAGAGATGAACAGTCTAGAATGAGATAGAGACTGAGAGATATGTAATAAGCTCGTAATCCCAACCTCATACAATTTTCAATGCACGTGTACATTTATTTGAATAAAATATGTTTCGATCGGTTCAGTTTTGGCGGGTGAAGATTTTATAAACCCGAAACCAACCGAAACCTGAAAACAAATTAAATTCACAAACCTAGCCAATCATATACCGCATCAAAATCACCTGTAGTGCCTCAGATCGAGTTGGTTCGGATGGGTGAATCAGGTGCATGAACAACCCAAATTGTTTTGTACTTGGTACTTGAAGATAAGGAGCATAATTCAAGCTATTAAAAAAATCAAATGCAACAATAATCTTAGTCATGGTATTTTACAAGTTTCAAATGGATTAAATTTGAAAGTAGAATGTTATAAATAGAATACAGACAAATTTTAAAATGAATTTGTTCCCTATCAATGTTCAAACAATATTACCATGTCAGTAGTAGTTATAAATACAGACATTGATGTGTGCATTTTTTTCTCTACAAAATAGCACTTTCTTAGAAACCACAATTCTAAGTACTTGGAGCTTAAATCAATATAACAAGTCTTTGAATTTTATTTACGCACATGTGAAGTTAATATTTCACTTTTATGTTTAGTTCTTAAAAACTTGTCAACTTTTTTGAGTATATGTATTGTCTAACTCCTAAGATTTTGTATATTATGAACTTTGTTTAATTTGTATGATTTGTATGTATATAAATCTTCTAAAATTGCTTTCATTTAACTTTGCAGTTACATTTTTATGAAAACACTATGTTGTAAACCTCTTACTAAAAAAATGTGCACGCCACAGGCAAGATCTACCGTGCAACACACGGTGCCATGAAACTAGTATACTATATAAAGAAAATCTATTTTCATCCAATATAATATATTCGATCATGTCATTTAATGAATCATAATTACATCTACGACAAACAATGCCAAGCAAAATTTAGCACCATTTACAAAATAGCACAAGCAAATAAGGCACAATGACTTAATTTTTGTTTACCTTCTAATGACCTTTTCCTTCTTTTTGTCTTTTGTTGCTTGGTCCTTGCTATCATCCGGACGACCACCATCAAGTGGGACAAGGCTACCCAAGCATACAGTTGTTCCGAAATGATCTGGCTCACCATTAATCCCAACCATCTCAATTGTCTTCTTTTCTAAGTCATACCAACGAAACGAACGAAAGTCATGTTGGAGGAGAACCTTCTTACCATTCTTTGAATATGGCAAGGGCTCCAAATAAATAGCAAACCTTATATTCGATTGCTCAATGCAGATCAATTTAGTCCAAGATTCCTTCACTCCATACTCCTTCATCACCCATAAATCAACACCCTTCTTGAGATAATAGTGACGCACACAAAGGCATCCATTCAAGACTTCAAACTTCAAATAAAAATCAACAGCCCCACACTCGGGTAGGGACACCATTCGGTATTCCTCCGCCCCAAGATCGAATGCAATAAGAGCGTGAGGTCCATCCTCACGCAACATTGGTTTTGGATTCACACTCCAACGCAAAGCTCCACCAACAAGTTAGCCAGTGCAAAGATCAAGTTCAAGGTGATGAGGAAAATCACCAACTTTCCTCCAAGAATTCCATTTTAAACTATAAACCCTAACTTCGGATTCATAATGCACAAATCTATAATCATTAATCCGGCAATCCTCATCACCTTGTAATCATCACTCACTGAGTCGTACCCAAGTCCATAAAGATTAACAAGCACACCACGAAAATCCACAGGGGTTTCGGTCAGCGAGACCGGCAATTCCAAATGCTTTCGAGTTGATGGGTTCCACAAATTAGCTTGTCCCTCTGCGAAAGACAAACAGAGCAAGCCATTGCAGGAATTCCAAACTTTATCCAATCGTTTCTCAAACATGAGTGGTGGACTGAGCTTAAAAGCTATGTCGAGCTTATCGAAATCTACGGAGCATAGTTGGTTTGGGAAGGGTGCGTTAAACTCATTGAGAATGAGGGAGAGATTGGATCGGGATTGAATCGATCGATTAAGATGCATTTTGATGAAGTTTGGGCTGTCGATTAGAGAACGCCATGGTTTGGATACGCACCTGAATTGGAGGAGTGGTTTCACCGGCAGTCGAGAGAGTATCTCGGTGATCACCTCCAGCGGAAGCTCCGGCGACAGTCGCTCCCGTTAGGGAAAATACGTGATTAAATCAATCACTACAATAAAAATTAATGTGGAAAAATTAAATCAAAAGTAGCATAAGAATTTTTACATGGTTCTCTTAATGTAAGGTACGTTTATGGGATCGAAATTCGATTCCACTATTAATTAAAAAGCTTTCAAACGAACCCTTAGGTGAATTCTAAATAATCACAAATAAATAAGAGCAAAGACCTTATCAAAATAGATGAATAAAAATCTTCAAAATCAGAGTTGAAAAAGACTCCAAAAAAAATAGACCCAAATTAACTCCAACTATAAAGCCAAAACCGAAGCACTCTATCCCATGAATCAATTAGTTGTTGTTTCACAATGCAAATCCCACCAAATTGATTTTTCAATCAATACAGCCTCCGTTTTGGAAGTGGGTTGACTTTTTAATTTTTTGGCTTTTTTGGCTATTTTAGCCTGGGCTAAAAAGTTTGGTTTGGGAAGGACTTTTTGACTTTTTTGCTTTTTTGACTTTTTTTGTGAGAGAAGAGTGTAATGATTATGGGTTGGATGTGATGTTTTGTTTGTTGTGGCTAAAATAGCCTATTTTGTCTTTTGTGACTATTTTAGCCCAAACCTTGCTTGCCAAACGGACCCACAATTTGTAGCAGCCGGAGCATATTATCTCACAGAGAAGATTTATTCGGCAGCCACTTTCTTCTCCTTCGGATGAACATAACAATATATCTATATATTATTAAACCTTGAACTTGTTTTATCAAACCTTATTTGTTACAAAATTGAATCAGGTCTCTACAAAATTAGATATAATATATATAAAATATATTATACTCAAACCAAACAAAATTAGAATTCTTTTAACAAATCAATTGGGTCCCACACTCCAATAAGGAGGTATACCCAACAATTCTCCCCCTGCCGGCCTAGGTGGAGACATCAACCATACCCGCCAAAGTTCGACACTTCAAATGTTTGTCTCTCGACAAAGTCTTAGTCAACATATTTGAAATATTATCACCTGTGTAAACCTTTTCGAGTTGTAATAATTTCGAATCTAACACATCACGAATCCAATGGTATCTCACATCAATGTGTTTCGATCTCGAATAAAAAGTAGAATTTTTACTCAAGTGAATAGCACTTTGACTATGACAATAAAGCACATATTTTTCTTGCTTCAAACCCAACTCTTGCAAAAATTTCTTCAACCATAACTCTTCTTTACAAGCTTCCATAATGGCAATAAATTCATCTTATGTAGTTAAGAGAGCAACACATTTTTGTAATTTAGATTGCCATGCCACAGCTCCCCCTGCAAAAGTCATCAAATACCCCGAAGTAGATTTCCTAAAATCAACATCACCGGCAATGTCAGAATCCGTGAACCCATCAAGCATCGGCTTACCATCCCCAAAACACAAACATACCTTCGAAGTCCCTCGAAGATATCTTAAAATTCATTTTACCGCTGCCCAATGTTCTTTACCCGGATTAGAGAGAAAACGACTCACCACACCAACGGCGTGAGCAATATCCGGCCTTGTACAAACCATGGCGTACATCAAAGAACCAACTGTTGAAGCATAAGGAACTTTCTGCATCTCTTCCTTGTCTTTCTCACTTGTAGGACATTGATTCGAACTAACCTTAAAGTGACCCGCAAGTGGACAACCAAATGGCTTTGCTTTATTCATGTTGAACCTCTCAAGAACTTTCTCAATGTAGCTTTCTTAAGACAACCAAATCAGCCCCTCTTTGCGATCACGAACAATTTTCATACCAAGAATTTGCTTTGTCAGCCCCAAATCTTTCATAGCAAAAGACTTGCTCAACTCCAATTTCAACCTGTTTATCATGGTAAAATCTTGACCCACAATTAACATGTCATCAACATAAAGCAAAAGAATAATAAATTTACCATCCGAAAAATTTTTCACAAACACACAATGGTCCGAAGTGGTTTTAGAAAAACCATTATTCATCATGAAAGAGTCAAATTTTGTGTACCATTGCCGCAGGGCTTGCTTGAGGCCATACAAACTTTTCTTCAATTTGCAAACAAATTTCCCTTTCCCTTTCTCCACAAAACCTTCTGGTTGCTCCATATAAATTTCTTCTTCAAGATCACCGAGAAGAAATGCGGTCTTCACATCAAGTTGTTCAATTTCAAGGTTCATACTTGCAGCCATGCCAAGTACAACCCGAATAGAAGACATTTTTACAACCGGTGAGAAAATCTCATCAAAATCAATACCTTTCTTTTGCCCAAAACCTTTCACAACAAGATGTGCTTTGTACCTCAGATTTTTGCCATCATTCTTCAATTTGAAGACTCACTTATTTTTCAAAATTTTTCTCCCTTTAGGCAACTTCACTAAATCATAAGTGTGATTTTCATGTAAGGAGTTCATCTCCTCTTCCATGGCCTTTTTTCAATCACCTTTCTTTGTATGCTCAATTGCTTCTTGGTAGCTCTCAAGCTTCCCTTGATCGGAAATCAACACAAATTCATTGGGAGAATACTTTCTTGAAGGTTGTCGGTCCCTTGTAGATTTCCTCAACTCAAGTTATGGTAGCGGTTCTTGAGTTGGATGCTCTTCCTCAATTTCGGGCTCAACTTCATTTTGAATAGCATCATCATTTACATCTTTAAGAAGTGGCTGCACCTCTTCCCCATTTTCATCATCAACTGAAGATGAAGGAGATGGATCCATGTCAATAAGATCACTAGTTTTTGGCTCTGGTTAATCACCATTGCCAAAGTCTTCAATTGTTTGGTCTTCAAAAAACACAACATCACGGCTTTGAATGGCTTTCTTGTCGACCGGATCCCACAATCTATATCTGAATTCATCACGCTCATAGCCAAGAAAAAATACATTGTCTTGATTTACTATCAAGCTTGGACCTCTCATCCTTTGGAATGTGAACAAAAACTCAGCACCCAAACACACTCAAGTGCTCATAAGATACATCTTTACCGGTCCAAACTCTTTCTGGAACATCACCATTCAAATGATAGGAATGAGACAAATTAATTACGTCAACCGTTGTCTTCATTGCCTCACCCCAAAAGGATCTTGGCAATTTAGCTTGTGAAAGCAAACACCTTGTTCTTTCCACAATGGTGCGGTTCATCCTCTCGGCAACTCTATTTTGTTGAGGAGTCTTTTTAACTGTCTTTTGGTGCCGAATACCTTGGCTGCGACAATACTCATCAAATGGCCCAATGTATTCACCACCATTGTCTGATCGGATGCACTTCAATTTCTGCCCTGTTTTTCTTTCAACCATGGCCTGAAAATGCTTAAATACTTCTAGAACTTGATCTTTAGTTTTTAGTAGAAAAGCCCAAACTTTCCTTGAATAATCATCAATGAAAGTAACAAAATAAAGTGCACCACTATGTGTTCTAACTTTTAAAGGACCACAAACATTCGAATGAATCAACTCCAACATATTTTCTTTTCTAGAAGCAACATTTTTATGAAAAGAAATTCTATGTTGTTTACCCGCCAAACAATGAACACAAGTTTTAAGATATGTACCTTTCAAACCGGGTATAAGCTCTTTCTTGAACAAAACTTGCAGCCCCTTTTCACTCATGTGCCCAAGTCGCTTGTGCCACAATTCGGTAGAAGTATCATCTTCAAGTGCATTGACAACACCTTTACAAATTTTTCCTTGCATCGAATAAAGTGTATGAGTCTTCTTGCACTTAGCCACCACCAAAGAACCCTTTGTGAGCTTCCATATTCCATCACCAAATTTGTTGTTGAAGCCTTCATCATCTAGCTTCCCAGTAGAGATCAAATTGAGGCGAATGTCAGGAACATGCCTCACATCTTTAAGCAACAACTTGCAGCCCAAATTTATTTCCAAGCAAACATCACCCATGCCAATAATTCTGGACAAACCTTCATTACCCATTCGAACAAAACCATAATCTCCTTCGGTGCAGGTAGTGAAGAAATCAACTCGAGAAGTCATATGAAAAGAAGCACCGGAATCAATCACCCAATTGCTCTCTTGGCCCACAAAATTGATAAAATCATCTTCACAAACGACCATGAGATCATCGGTAGTAACTGCCGTTGTGTCTTCTTGCTTCTTATCCACACTTTTGTCACGTCGTTTCTTCTTGTTCTTGAGCTTTCGGCATTCTCGCTTCATGTGCCCTTTTTCATGGCAATAATAGCACTCAATGTCTTTCTTTGAAAAAGAACCATCTTTTGATTTGTCACGGCTTTGATCACGACTATGAGGAGTCTTACTCCTCCCCTTTGTTTTGCTTCGGCCTCTCACAACGAATGCTTCTAAATGAGAGGAACCCCTGATTTTCTTCTAGTTTCTTCATTCAACAGGCTACTAGTGACTTGGCCCATTGTGACAACTCCATCAGGTGCCGAATTACTAACTGTCACAACCAAAGTCTCCCAACTTTCGGGCAAAGAACTAAGTAGCATCAAAGCCTGCAACTCATTATCAAAAATAATTTTCATAGAAGCAAGTTGGTTAACAATACTCTTTATTTCATTCAAATGTTCTGGAATGGGCTGCCATCTTTATATTTTAAATTAACCAACTTACGAAACAGAAAGGCTTTATTTGTGGCTGATTTTCTATCATAAAGACTCTCTAATTTTTTCCATAAATCATGTGCCGAAGTTTCAGTAACAACATGATAAAACACACTGTCATCAATCCATTGACGAATAATACCAACGGCTTTTCGATTAAGCGTCTTCCATTCATCATCTTTCATACCCTCAGGTTTGCCACTATCACCCTCAATCGGTCCATACAAATCTTTACAAAGTAATAGGTCCTCCATTTTAGTTTTTCAAGTTACCCAATTACTTCCATTGAGGCTAGACATACGACCCGCATTCCCCTCCATTGATTTACACAAATAAATATATCCAAATAAACCGTAAGCTTTGATACCAGTTGTTAGGGAAAATATGTGATTTTCCACAAGTAAATCAATCAATGGGAATAAAAACTAATACGAAAAAAT